GGGGGGGGGGGGAGAATCAATAGCTTGTAGTAACTACGTTGTCATTCTTTCCGCACCACCCTTAAATAAATATAAGATTATGTGAAAAAAAAAAAGTCATTATAATAATAATAATAACATATAAACTGACCTTTTTAAGATGGCCCGTGGATGTCCCAAGAAAGGCTACAGTATAGTCATGAGTAGAGGTCGCTGCTACAGCTGTTAGAAGAACTCCAGAGTATGTTAGGACAGGCACGCCCTCTACAGGCATGTTTCCACCAAGCGGCGTGTTTACATCCATTCCGCAGAAGTCATCGTTGATCTGGACTTGCTGTATAAATATTATGAAACGATTAAGATAATCAGTTATTTCAACTGCGTATCAAATGTGTTGCAGGGTTCACTATAATTTTTAAATTGTTACTTCGATAAACACAAAAAACAAATTAAAACCTGCTTTTACTTACCGTAACAAGAACAATACCTGAAATTATAAATCTTATCTAATGATACCGTACTTTAAAACTTATAATTAATTATATGAATAACGCCATACAATTTATTTCGTGCAAACCACCGTCTGTTCTGTCTGTTGGGTCAGTCAAAATAATTTTAAGGGCGATTATATTACATCGTCCAGCGTAGTTGTAATAAACGTATGACTGCAAAATAGCAGAAAGAAAGTTTCTGATAAGCCATGCTGGCAATTTCTAGACCTTATTCAATTTCTCCTTTAGATGGTCATCGGTTTTCGTTCTCTAACACCCCAAAAGTTTCGCACGTTACGTTGCACCAATCTCAGTGAATAAAGACATCATTTTTTCCCCCCACCACCATTATCCAGTTTTGCTCTCATCTTGTCAAAAATCACGATCTGTCGTGTACAGGAAATAACAATTGGGTTGTCGATACAGTTTTAAGTACTTGGTTCATCCGTCCGTATATATATGTGCATGAAAAAAATTACGAACACGAAGAGGGAGAAATAGGAAAATCCCCCAATCGCGCTCGCCAAAAATAGAACCCCTCCATTTGATTTGTTTCCCACGTGAGAAATTCTGCACATTTCTTACGTGATCTGTTTTACCATGCTTTAATATTGTTCTACAATTAAATAAGCTGCATTTCCATCTAACACACAATTTACCAGTGATTTCCAAAGAAAGGATCTTGCAATACTCACACACACACACACATATATATATACATACGTATTAGACGAACTTCAGAACATTTTAAAATTTCCTTTTGAGATTATACATTATTAAGATGAACTTCCAAAAGTTTTTCTATCTTTAAATTTGCATTAGACATTACTGAAATTTCTTTTACACCACCATAATATATAAATTTAACTCAAAGTCTTTACCTGTAATAAAGAAAAAAAACACTGTAGTTAAATTAATGATGATTTATTTAATATGTTTACTAAACACACATATTGTATATAAATTGACTGCATGAAGAACTCTAAAAATACCAATATTAATTTCAAAGTGGCCTAACGGCTGTAAATTAGAAGTTTACATATTATATGTATACGTAACAAATAGAAATAGTTCGGTTATTACTTTATTGGCAAGTTTCACTATCAACGTACTTTTCTATATTATTAGTATATGTGAGTGTCGCCCAGAGAGTTTTATATCCATACCAGACAATTTAGTGATTATACATTTATCTCGCACAAAAATATAAGAACATTATAGCCTAGTATATTAAACACTACTAGAATGAAATATAAACAAATATGAGGACTGCCCTTCTGAAGATTTGCGTCTTAACTTTAAAAGTAGGCCTAGGTGATGTTCGTAACATAAAGCAGGCGTAAGGTATGCTCGTAACATAATAGGTCTAAAATATGGTAGTAATATAAAGCAGGCCTGGGAGATGTTCGTAAGATAAAGTAAGCTTAGGAGATGTTCGTAATATAAAGTAGGCCTAAGGTATGCTCGTAACATAAGTAGGCCTAAAATATGGTAGTAATATAAAGCAGGCCTGGGAGATGTTCGTAAGATAAAGTAAGCTTAGGAGATGTTCGTAATATAAAGTAGGCCTAAGGTATGCTCGTAACATAAGTAGGCCTAAATATGGTAGTAATATAAAATAAGCCTAGGAGATGTTCGTAATATAAAGTAGGTCTAAGGGTTGCTCGTAATGCCTTGAACACCTAGTAGAATGTGACCGTAATATCACTTATATTAATACTTAATTCCTACAATTTATTTACTTTCACTTTAAATAAACAACGCAGTTCTAATCTCGTTCTTTCAACCGGGCTCTCCACCTTTGCTCTTTTATAACCAAGATGAATTTCAAACGTTGGTAATTGAAAATCAATCTACTCTATGACGAACAGTAAAACGCCTCTGTGATGGTGAGCACATCTCATGACTACAGTTTCGTTTTTTTTTTTTCAATAATAAACTTTTCTGTCCATCTGAAGTCAATATATATATCAATATGAATACTTCCCTTGACAATTAGTTAATTAAAGACGAACGCACGCACGGAAAACAAACAACGTTTAGTAACAAGCTTGGGTATATAACAATTATAAGCTTATCCCTTTATTAAACAAATATAGCTTCGCTACCAATGATCCGTGAGGTCAATGGCACGCCTAATGAGAATTTCTACATAAATATATATTATCATGTGGGTGGATGTGTATATACAGCGTGCATGTGTGTGTGTTATCCAGCAAAAAGTTCAAGCAGGCAGAGAACTCAACTCGGACTACAATAATCGATAACACTTCAACAAGTCATTATATAAAGTTAGGCCTATGTATCCATCTACGCTTTCAACTTCAGAGCACAACGATATTCCTTACTAAATGAATATTCCACAAAATTTGAACGACAACAAAATAAATAACTAGAGATCTACTCCACGAGAACAGTTTTAAACCTTCAACTGCCATATTGAAGCGCCTTCTTCGGGCTTAAGTGAATGAATGTTTAATTTCGAAACACGTGTTTTATTCCGGAAAACACATATTTAATACCATTGGCTTTCAATTTTCACTTATTACTAAGTTCAAGAATTATATCTCTGTGAACTCTCACTACATTATAACATTATTTGTGTTCTGCAATGGCCTAGTGGTTAGAACGCTTGACTAGCAGTCTACGCGTCATGGGGCGAAACCTGTCGCCGAATATGTTCGTTTTAATGTAACGGTAAATCCCAATATTCGTTGGTAAAGACTAGTCAAAGAGTTGACGGTGAATGACGTTAACTAGCTGCATTCCCTCTTAGTCTATTCCTTAAAATAAAAGTTCAATAAACATACAGGGGTTGAACTTGCAAATAGTAACATTCAGTGAAAGAGGTCAATAACGTACGTATGGCTCCACCTTGTGTCGTTAGGATTGCTTCAATTCTTTACAGGGCATCTGTAAGTTCATGAAAAATATATGCTGAAGATTTATGTTCGCTCATGATAACCTTCTAAGAATTGTTACACTCATCTGATGAGAACTACGAGGTGATCATGATGTTCTAACAACCTTCAATTCTATTCCTCCTTCAAACTCAAGCAGTCGTCCAATTTGGGTCACTAAAGTACCCATTAATCGAGCTTAGATATGTTTATGTTTTAATAAAACTCATCATCTATCTAAGAGGTCATTGAAATAAAAAAGTAATAAGTCAGTTGGGGATCCACCCCATTTAGCATATGGGGAAGAAATGGGCACATCTTTAAGCAAGTGTTGTCTTTCGGAGGGTCAGCAGTACGCTTACGGGCTTACAACGCTAAAATTCGAGGTTCGATTACCCGAGATGAAAGGAGCGTAGATGGTCCATTGTATAGCTTTGCGCTAAAAAGATAAATATTAACTACCTGTTTCCTTTTTTTTTATTCTTTTTGTTCAATCACTGTATGCTCGAAAACAAAATACTCACTAAGCCTGAAGACGGGTGCAGTGTAGCAATTGAAAGCTTGCTGATAAGGAAAAACAACAAGAAGTTATTAAAGATATGTAGTTATTTATTTTGTTGCCATTATCAAGTCTCCAAAACTTGTCAATTACAGAGGGCGCGCAAAACAGCTAACTAATGACTTTTACCATGCGGCATAATTTCTATACATTTCCAAATTCACTAATCAACACTAACAACAAGTCCTGCGGCACTCTAACTAAGAGAAAAGAAATACTATCACATTCGTCCAGTTCAGAAATGTTAAGAAGGAGGAAAAAAAAAAAGGTGTAATTTTAGAGCTGAAAACTCGTCATCTCATCAGCACTTCGTTAAAAACCATATAGATTAGATAAAAAAGAAAAGCAAAGACTCGAGCAAAAAATAATAACAATAAAAAACACGGACCAATTGATCAATATATAGTTAAGATTCTTAAAAAAGCAGATTTGTCTATTAAGGAACGGTGAAAACAGTTTTCCCTGATTAATAGCGTCTATTGGTTCCAATAGGAGTGAACTAATTAAGACATCGTTAAAAACGTATCGAGAGATGAAGAAAAACTTCACTATATAATTAATATATCGTTATAAGATCATCGAATGATTCCTAAGCCTCATTAAAGCACACACACAAAAAAAACAACACACACAACACATAGAGGGAGTTCAAGTAACGACGTAGAATGTAAACACAAAATGTGAAATTCTAATTCCCTATTTCCAATCACATTTATTCACGAATTTGTTTGCTTATTGTACGATACGAGTTAAATGTTATAATGATTTATTTATTTTTGATTTAAGATTTTTCGATTCGAAAACATTTCTGATCAAGACGAGACATCTTTATGTTAAGCACGCATGCACACACACACAACACAAAGTTCGAATAATATAACTTTCTCTTTAAGGCGATAAAATAAATTTAAATATATGTAAAATAACAGCCTAAAAGAGTTTTTCCACGTTTTATTTAACTTCTAAAAAAATGTTTTAATGTGAGCATTTTTCATAAAAATATAACTATTGCAGTAATAAATAATAGTGGTGTATGTGGTGTATTATTTTGATTTTTTTTTATTGTTGTTGTTAAGCGCAATGAGTGTCTTACCGCAGAGCCACTGAAAGAGGCGGAGGGGGGGGGGGGGGTGCTATTTTTATTAATTAAGTACCACGTGTATGAGTAAACCAATAAGATTTTTCCGAAATAACGGGAACGTTTCTCAAACATTTCCGAGCTGAAAGGAATCAATAATAGTAAACTTGCTAATTAAGTTATTATTATTAACTTAATTCTGTAACATTAGCAAGAGCAAGGATCGTTAGAATCGTATTTAAAATTTTGTGTTCGATAAAATAACAAAAAGAATCTTAAGTTTAAATGTTGGTTAAAACGAAAACA